TTCTCCAGCATCTGCAGTTCCTACTATCACCAATTATACATAACATTTGTTCTACATCCAACGGACATTTTTCAGATAAGCTGTCATGATGTTTCTATTCCTGAATCCTTTAAAAACAAGCTGTTCATCTAGCCATTGTAGTTGTTTATACCAAAGATACTTCCCTTAAACACAACTTTCGAACGTAACTATTCTCAATCTCTTTGAAGAATAGATTTTATATACCATTACCTTTCTTTTCCACAGTTAGGGATCTGTCCATTCATATTTAATACCCTGGTTTCTTAAGGTAGAAGTTAACCCTCTCAAGGCTGACTTCATTACTGCCACATTTTTCCCTGCACAAGCAAATTTTGTGGAGAACACTCCAGATTCTGAAAGCAAAAGACAAAGTTTGTTTTCTTCTCGTAGCACTTCAAAGTCATCTTGTTTATCTTTAAAAAAAATCTGTTGCTCCATGATACAAATAAGTTCAACCTATAACCCTTACTCCTGGTAAATTCCAACATACCACAATCCAATAGTTATAAGAAACTGACTTTCAACTCATGTCCAATAAAGAAACACTCTCAGTTTTTAATATTAGCATTGTCTTTGAGGGGGAAATAATTGCTATTTACCCAAAATAACTAATGAAATCATTTGATAAGTATTAATTATTTATTTTTAAACAATTAATCAATAAGCACTTATTTCATACACTCTGTCCCACCCCATGCAGACTCCATATTCCAGCAGCCAATTTATATCTCCACATATACCATACTTCTTTACAACTCTTACCAATCAAATGGTAAACAGCATAAGTCACAATTTAAGGCGTCTCATTTTGCTTCTGATAGGAAACAAACTTTAAAAAAAGAGAAAGCAAGCAAACCTTGGCATGGAGTTTGAAACTTGTAAGCAATTTACTGACATTTACATTTATTAGCGATTGCAAATTACTTGAGGCAATGTAAATAACCGATATATTCAGTCAAGCTCCAGAATCCAAATTAACCAACCCTTTGGAGACAAACAGGAGGCTGGAAGGACACAGCAGGCCAGGCAGCATCTGGAGGAAAGGAGAAGTGAACGTTTCGGGTATTATTCTCCTTTCCTCCAGAAGCTGCCTGGCCTGCTGTGTTCTTCCAGCCTCCTGTTCGTCTACCTTGGATTCCGGCATCTTCAGGTTTTTTTTTGGTCTTTAACCAATCCATTAGCTGGTGGCGTTCTCACCTCCTTAAGTTTAGCACTTATGTGCAGCTTCCGTTATGAATATGCATCGTCAATTATATCATCTTTTTGATCATAAATGTATCAATACCACATTTGCCTACTCAATTGAATGTAAAAAGGACAAATTTCAATATTTGAAGACAGGAAGGAAATCTTCCCGTGATCTAATATACTGTCAGTGTAACCACACTTCAAATACCACTTCAAAATATAATGCTTCAATTGTAAGTGCTTCGGGTCATTCTGCATATCTAATAAAGCACTACATTAATGCTAAAAGAAAAACTGAAATTGCTGGAAAAGCTCAGCAGGTAGAAATCAAAGTTAAGGTTTCGGGTCCAGTGACCCTTCCTCAGAACTGGACCCGAACTTCAGATTTCTCTTCACAGATGCTACCAGACCTGCTGAGCATTCCCAGCAAATTCTGTTTTTGTTTCTGATTTACAGCATCAGCAGTTCTTTCCGTTTTTACTGTATCAATGCACATTCTTCCTTCCTTATTCCTCCAAAGAGAAAGCTTTGGAAGATAACTACTTCAGTTGATCTGCCTGCTTTTTAGAGAAATGATATTGGAACAGTCTGTGAAGATACTAACCGGATGTGCTATGACTTTCCATGGAAGGCATTTTGTATTTCTTGCTTCACGTAGCGCTATAGGGAATTCCTTAACTATCTTTGGTTCAATTATACTGTCATTATAAGGGTCCACTTTCTGGGCGACATTTTAACTCATCCACAAAGCACTCACTCGAACGAGATTTGGGGCTTTGCAAATGTCAGGGAACATCAGAACTTGTCAAATCATCTGATGAAATATGAATGTTGACAATTCTAACTGCGAGCCTGTCTACCCAATCTCAACCCTCGTGGTATGAAATATGAATGAGGAAGTGGTTAAGAATTACTGTGGAACTAAGGACATTATGGACATCATTACATTTATTAACGTCGCTGTTGGACAGCGTTGGAGACTGTGCTCTGTTTACCTACTGAGTTACAGAGAACAAATAATTCAACCAGGTCTTATTTTTGGGAGGAAAAATGTCCAACAATTCCCCCAGAGATAGTAAGGACTACTGATGCTGGAGTCAGAGATAACATAAGTGTGGAGCAGGTTCCCTCAGGTTCCCCAAAACAGCCCCATAAACAAAATTCTGGAATTCTGGCTGACTTTGATTTTCTACATTTTCCTAGTTACTAATTGTAACAGAAGAATGACCATTGGACCAAGGTCTGTACCCGAGAATTTAAGCCGCCTGCCTCCCCTCTGGATGTTGGTATAAATCTGATTGCAGCAAATAACTCTCAGTACAACCTGGTCTGAGAGGGTAGCGCTACCAGAAAGGGACGAGAACTCCTTCTCCTACCAAGTAGAGGCGAGCGGTGGCTGTTGGGGACTTGCATTGAGACGCTCAGCAGGAACTTCCAGGATTGTGGGATCTTGCTATACTACCTGCTCTCACTGGGAAGGACCTCGATTTAAAGGGGGAGGGGAGCGGGTAGAGGAATGCAAGACCAACGAAACAAAAAGCTAAATAATCTAAGGAATGTGCCGTTGGAATCGTCCCGCCAACCACTGAGGGCAAAAGTGGCTTGGGGGTGGGGGCGGTGGTGGTGGGGAAGGGTGGAAACTGACGTCTGAAAGTTTTGGGAATTAAATATTCCCATAAACCTCCTCGGATGCACAGTCTGTGGGGACAAAGGCTGGAACTCCGAGGGATCGTATCTTCAACCAGTGAGACCAAGATAAAGTCTTTTTAAAGTTAAGAAGCGAGGACGACATTGGGAAATGTACCGTTGCTGAGATTCCTGGAAGTTGAGTGTATATGCTAACGATCACAACAGTTAGAAGCAAGTGAGTCGCTTTCTCTCCCGGTATCAAGCCTCTTAAAAGTTCGCCTATGTAATGTGCAGGCTTGTACCACTTTCATACGAAGTGGATCCAAGTTTTGCGCACTCGATCACTCAAAAAAAAAGCGTTTGTGGCGATTAGAAGTTAGCATGGTGGGATGCACTTTGAAATTCAAAAGTTATTTCATTGTAATCGAGGATTTATAGACTGCTGGGGTTTAGCAGCTGGTTTTGAGCAGGGACAAGTAAGGGCTATGATGCAACTGGTTTATCGCGGGTACGTGTCAAGATAGAAGCAGCATTGTCTTTAAAAGTCCTTCTAAGAATCACCGGATGCGGGAGGGGTATATATTTATGCGTACTTATTGTTATTCGGAGAATATGGAACTAGTTGGAATTAAGGGAGATGCAATGAGCCCCAGAGATGCAAATGAAGGGATTGACTGTGGACTGAGGTGAGTTTGACTTTTAGAGCATCGTTCTAATCATTGAAGTGGAAACGAACACCAGGATTACTGAGATAACTTGTTATCTCAGATTTTCCAGCATCTTCAGTTCCTACTATCTCTGATACAATTTTAACCAGGATAACTATGTTCATTTGTGACTGTCACCGATTATTACGTTCTCTTTTAATGTGCAACCTAGAATCGTAGGAATTTACAGCACAGAAAGTGGTCATTAGGATCATCGTGTCGTGTCGGCAGAAAGTATAATCTTGTCTCATTTCCACTTCCCAGTTCTTGGCCCCTAGCCTTGTAGATTTCCCTATTTCAAGTGCACATTCAAGTATATCTTAAATGTGGAGAACATTTCTGCTCTTACCAACAAGCGCCAGAATCCCATCACCATCTGGACGCAAAATGGCTCCGCAGTTCGCTTTCTGAGACAAAATAATTCTAGAAGGATATATAACTTGGAGGGGTTAGATGGATAAAATTATTCATTTATCTACTTAAATGTTCTGACCTTTAAGTATTCTCCTTGTTCTATTCTATTACCTTGGCACTGTTAAACGGTTGATATTGGTGCTTTACTGCAATTTGTGCATCAAAGCGACTTAAATGGCCAGGTTCATTCAGCTAGTACATATCTGTACAGATGTATCTGTACCAGCTCCTTAAGGTGCTAGTGATTATACCTGACTAACTGTAGCCATTGCTATCAGGTAATAAGCCTCCTTGTTATCCAAGAACAATGCCTCTTCAGTAAATACTCCCACTAATCATTAAATTGGCCAAAACAAAGGAGGCCTGGTGACAGTGATCTACCTCTAACCCTTCCCCAAATGACGTTCTAATAGAGATGGCAAATACTACAAGGTGCCAGCCATAATCGTTTTCAAACTAAAATGTTTATGTCCTAGAATATTCGCTGTCTTATAAATTTAAAGTCTGTTTGAAGGTTTCAAAAGTCACAGTTACCCTTGATTTGACTTTAAATATGGAATGTAACATTATTTACAAGACTACTAAAATGGACAAGTATTTTTGTACGCTGCTTTGAATATGTAGAGGAAACAAATTAATGGAAGAATTGCGATATTTATCTATGTGAAGACAATGCAGAGCCACTTTTATGTATTGAAAATCATTATTAAATATGCTTTATGCCTTCTGCAGCATTTCAAAATAATATGATATCTGTCAACCTAAATAAGACAAATATTTAAGGACCATAAACAGTTGTACATTTTATACCAATTGATTAATAGTTGTGAAATACTAACACATTAATGTGAAATTAAAATTGCAAAGTATGCCTCAGCATCTAATTCATTGGATCCTATCAGCATTCTCCTTTAAACTATATTAAAATACATATCTATGTACAATTCCTGTTATTACAATGTCACATTTTCTTAGTAATTGCTTCCCATGTCCATATTTATAATTAAAATGACAAATAATCTACATTGGTTCATAAAAATCACATTGTGACGAATCATTAGCATAAGATCCTGATTTACATATCATTCTAGCTCATTCAAGGCAAGATATGTGTTTTGATTTGGCATTCTTGATTACCCATTTTTAAAATCAAATCTGGCTGCCAATAGATTTAAAAAAAGTCATTTGCCTTCTGGCCCATATTCCAGTATAAATTAGGCAATAGAGATTTGACAAACGCTCTTCCATTTGCAGTGCCATCAGAAATCAACTGGTATATAGTCAATCAAGTTAGCTTTACTAACCCCAATGCTCATAACAGCCAGATTGTGCCAATGCGATGTGCCTGCTGTCTGTCATGGGATCATCACATGGTTACAACATAGAAAGAGAACATCCAGTCTATCAAGTCCATTCCAGCTAGTTGAACTCTATGCCTTTTCTCTAAAACCTTCCAAGTCATTGTTTCCCTTTCAAATATCAATCTAATTCCTTTTAGAAAGTCACACTTAATATGCCTCCACCATCCTTTCAGCAATTGTTTTCAAGATCATAACCATTGTCCTGATGAAGGATTTCGGTCTGAAAGGTTGACTTTCATGCTCCTCAAATGCTATCTGACCTGCTGTGCTTTTCCAGTTTCACATCCATTGACTCTGGATTCCAGCATCTGCAGTCCTTACTGTCTCCAAATCTTTTCTCCATCCGCTCTTAGGTATTCTCATCATTCTTAAAGTGTGGACCCTAGAGCACAGTGCACCCCTGGACACAGTACACCTAGATGGCTGAACATGTTTTTAGAAATGCTCTTCATAATTTTGTTGCTTTTGTATTGCATGCCTCTACTTATAATGCCCAGAACTGGATTTTATTACTTTTTTAACCTACCCTGCCACATTCAATGATTCATACATACATATACCACCAGATTTCTTTGTTCCAATACTGAATTTGAGTGCACCTTTTATTTTATATGTCTCTTTTCCCTACTGAAAGATTGTGTTTCACACTGTTGTGGGTTAAATTTCATCTGCCACATACTTGCAAGCTTGTTTATGTGTTCAGAGTCTATCGTATTCTCAGAGTTTGCAATGTTTCTAAGTTTTGTGCCATCTGCCAATTTTATAATTGTGCCCTGTATGCCAAACACTAGATCATTGATAGATATCCTGAAAAGTAGTTATCCTGTTCTTGACCCCTGAGGAGCCTGACTGTGAACCTTTTTCCAGTCCATAAACAACCATCACCAATCCTTTTATTTTTGTCTTTTACCTAATTTCATATTCATCTGCTCCTGCACCTGTTATTCCATATACTTTATGTTTTGTGACAAACCTGTTACCCTTTGAAAGTCCACACACCATATCAAACTCATTGTTCATATCAACCCTCCCTATTACCTCATCTAGAAAATCAGTTAATTAAATACAATTTACCTTCAGTGTATGCATTAATTAAAATGCAATGGTCCAAGTTGGTGTTAATTTGTCACAGATTATTGTTTCTAAAATCCTCCCGTAAGTGAAGTCAAACTGATTGACTTGTAATCACTAGGTTTATCCTTACACGTTTATCCTTATACCCTTTCTTGAATAAGGGTTTAACACTTGCAATTCTCTAATACTCTAATACTCTGCTCTCACCCCATTTGTCCAAGGAGATTGAAAGATTATGGCCAGTACCTCAGTAACCTTGAGAGGCATCCCATTGGTGACGCAACTGCTTTAAATCATTTAACCCTTCTAGTGTCTTCCCTTCCTCAATTTTTTAACCCATCCAATATCTCAATGTGTCCAATACTATGCCTGTGGTAGGATCTTTTACCTTGATAGACCACTTGCTTAGTATCTCAGGTATACCTTCTGACTCCATGTATGTCATCATCTTACAGCCCATTTACTATTTGCATGCCCATAGAATGCTTTTTTGCTGCTATTTTTATACTTCCATTTCCCTTTTCACTTCCCACTGATTTTTTTATATTCAGCCTGGTTCTAACTTGTATTGGATAATTATCTGACGAGAAAATAAGTTACATGCCACAGGGGAAAGCTGAGTAAAAACTCTTACAAGAGCATAAGCATGGACATGATGAGCCATATAATCTTCCTCTGTGTTTTTGTCATTCTATCATTCTATGCATTATCAATCTGTTATATGACCCCGCTTTCCTGCTGGATCTTTCTTTCTCTCTCTTTCACATCCAGGGAGCTCTGGTTTTGCTTCTACTTTCTTCCTTTCCCTACCACTCCTATGTGAGCAAATATCCAGAATGTATGTACACACTGTGATGGCCAATGTATCTCGATAGTATTAATAATATTATGAATATTCAAAAAGTGGACTGGTAAGGAGTTAAGTTTGCCACTTTCTGAGGCTTCAAGTTTGTCTCAGCTTTCAAGGTGTACTGCTGTACATGATGATTCACTGTAGACGCAGCAAACAAGAAATGGAACTGACAACAACATTTAAACTGTGTCTATCAGAGAACTCAATGGATATTCAAAGCTTTAAGTAAAATGACATTAAAACAACTTACAACATAGGCACAATGTTAATGTCTCTTGTCTATATGGTTCAAAGTTCTAAGCGTCTAAAATATGTGGATGGTCCCTCAACATAATTGGCTTTTTCAGATGCTAATCAGCTTTCAGCGTATTTCCAGAAGATTGTGTTTTTAGTTAGACATTTTAACATTTTACCTGTAGAGTCAAATGTGATACAAACAATCTTTACTGATTTTTGAATTTTTACTTGGAATTTGACAATTACAACTAAACACAAGGACACTAACAATGTCAGCCCTTGTGGTGAAGCAGTTTGTATTTCAATGGTAAATACTGGAAAACATTGCTGTGGAATTGACTAATCATTGAGTTATTTAAGATATACTATGAATTAGATTAAATCAATCATTCTGTTTCTGCAGGGCACAGCATGTTACTTTTGATTGGATCATTTGAAAATTTTCCACTTCATATCTGCCGCCAATTCATATTGGAAATTTGGCATTTTGCTGTCATTAGATTTCATGATAATTTCAACCTGTGTTTGGAAAATGATTTGTGAAGAGATTCAAACTTCCAACATGTGCCAAGTCTTTGGAGAGTCTCTT